GAATGTGGTTTTGTGGTTAAAGGCATTGTTGTGGCAGGTGTCTTTGGGTGGTGCTTTTAGTATTCAAAGTTATTTCTTAAGGTACAGAGCAGAGCTGAAGCTGGAGAATCCATCTTTGGTAGCATTAGGTTTGAGTTTTGTTTGGTGTGCACTGGTTTCTTTGGAGGCAGTGGTTGTGAGAGCAAAGAAGTTTTAAGAGCATCAGGTTTTCCATCTTGGCCACTAACTAAAATAAATTGTGCCTGGGAATTGTCCTCTACAATTGCCATTTGGCTGAGATTCATGAAGGAATGGATTAACTGCAGACTAGTTGACTACTGCGCTCAGTTTATGTGTGTCAAGTTACGTTTCACGTATGTCTGGGCGAATTTTATCTGCTTTCTCCTACAGACTTGTAAAGTCCAGAACATCTGCTGCTACTTGGCGGAGAGCAGACTCTCCAGTTTCTGTGGGAAGAAGGGACAGAGATGTTTATTTACTGATAGTTGAGTTGGATCTTCCACAACCTGTGCTGTTAAGTCTGAGCTCAACAAGGTCTTCAAACACTGCCTGCATGTGGTCCTTTTCAGACCAAAACTCTTAGCTTGCTGTTTTGACCACCGCTTGTCTCAGTGAACATGCAGATTAAAGGTCACAGTGTCGGTACTGATTACAAGGGTGGTTGCAGGATGGACTGCACTTAAGTAATGAAGAGCTGGTACCTGAAGGGCTGCCTTCTGCTGGGGTCTGTTTATTTTAGTTCAAGGTTAATTGCCAGTGGGTATTAGATTCCGTCTTGCTAGAACCCCAAGAGAGGAGACTTAACAGGTGCAAATGTGCTGTTCCTGAAGTGTGCTGGGATTCAGAAGTGAAACTGGTTTGCATCATCAGATCACTGTTTTGGGCAAGCTCTTCCATCCCAGCTCAGTTATTCCCAGCTGTCCTGGAGTTGGGAAGGCTGGGAGTGGCCCACAGGAGGGCCAGTGCTAGCATGTCATGAAAAGAACTCTTGCTGTGTTGGTAAGGAGGTAAAGGAGGGCTCATTTTCCTGGCTTCCGGCACGTGAAATACACATTTAATGTATGTGAAGATACATAATGTAGTAGTTTATAGGAAGCATCTCTGGTGTTCATCCTGGTCTTGTCAAAAGGTATTTATCCTTACCTTCTCCCATGTCAACTTTTACTAGATTATTGTATTTCCTCACTTATATGTCTGTAGTAGGATAATTTACAGTGTGCGTGTTAGCATACATTAGCAGACTAGTTTACTTGTTGAAACTGTTCACTGCTGTGAGGTAAGGTCCCAAAATTAGTGATTTGGGGAAAAAAATGAATTGCCTAAAGATGATTAGCTCGGGGCATATGCTTTACGTGTATGTAAATATTTGTAAAGAAATGCAATTCACTGAAAACAACACAATTTGCAGAGTTTCAAGTGTTGAATTTACAGTTTGGTCACTGTCCACTGCAAATGGCTGTATTTTTTGCCAAATACGCATAGGTGGCAGTGTTGGTCTATGTATGATACTGGTATGCAGACGGTGGTTTTCTAGCAGTTTCTCAGACATTTTAAGTTTGGGGTGTTTTGAAAGCGCTGGTGTCGTGCAGCATGGATCTTTGGTGTATCCTGATACCTGTCGTTATAGCTGCTGCAGCAAGCTTCCCCTGGTTACTCCCAGGCGGAGTGCTAGGGGCACTGCCTGCTTCCAAGCCTTGTGATTGCCTCAGTGTTGATCCATTTAGGATGGGAATTTGGGGAAGAGCACCACCTTACTTTAATCTTTGTGAGGGTTCATTTTTTTTGAAAACTAGTTGAAGAGGAGGCAATTAAATGAGGTTGATACAGCAAGATAGTGTGTGAGGTTGAACAAAACCACTGATTTTACCTTGCTTATATAGGAAAGCAAAAAGCTAGAGGTGCCTTATGGAAAAGGCTCCCAGAAATGACAGAGCATCTCCGGGGGGGGGAAAACCTGGAGGAGGGAATGGAGAAGCTGGAGCAGGAACAAGCTCGGAGGCAAGGGTGAAGAGGGGAAGAAACACAGTAGCTGTGTGGCGAAAAGGACTATGTATTCATCATAACCAGAAAATAGACAAAACCTGTGGAAGTATTATTTAACAGAAAAGTAGTTGTTTAATATTTGGTCAAACTCAGAATTGATGTTGCTGTCTTTGGGGCAGGATGTGGACTAACTGCTCCTTTTTCTTTCTTTTCCTTCTTTCTTTTCCCTCAGTGTTCAGGACAAATCTGGAGTGCTGGATCCTGTAGCCATCCCTCGCTTCATTCCAGAAATCACAATTGGAGGCAGTGAATATGATAAAATCTATTACGAGTATCGATCGGTAAGTAATACTGGAAGGGGAGCAGTTGTATGATAGCCAGGCAATCGTCCCTGCCAAGGTGTAAGCGCATTCGTAAGTGTCCTGTGCATAGTCTGGGTGTCAATCTCATGCACAGGGATACACATTTCTAAGAGCAGGTTCTGGACTTTGCCCAGATCCCTACCTTTTTTGAAGTCTAGCTTCCCCACAAGAGGGATAATGAAGCAAATGTTTTGTTTCGTAAGCTGATTTTCTTTTTTGATCTTTAGATGTGGACTAAAGGATAAGTGGTTTTCATTTGTTTTTGTTTCTCCTGCCCCGATTAGTCTCTGACCTCTGAGATCTAAAATAATCCTTTGAGTCAAACAAGAAAATTGGAAACCCATGGCGACTTCTATAAAGAAGACCGCTTATAAAACGCTTCGGGAGGGGGTGTTTTTTCTGGAGTAGGCTGAGGAGGTATGAATGTTACATTGCTTCTCCAAACTGTTGTTGCTTTAAATAGTGTGTTTCTGTATGCGGGCACACATCCAAAGCCTGTTGTGGCCCAGCGCTCTCTTACACCTCATGCAGGCTCCCACACAATGTTTTAATTAGCTGCTTGCCTTTCTGGTTCTGGAGACAACGGTTTCCAATTGACTTAGCACTTTGCCCTATCACTTATTATTATTTAGCTGGTATGGGGTCTTATCTCACAATGTGGTGTTTTCCTAAGGCCCAGGTATTGTAAATTCTCATTAGAGAAGTTGTGGAACTGATGACAATTAATACTGATTGGACAAACTGAAGTTGTAGGTGATGGTATATTTTCAAGTTGGGTTGAAATCTTCTCTGCCGCTGTTTCGGTTGGTTGGGTTTTTTTAAGCAATTGCTGAAGACAAAGGAAGGAAGATCTATATAAATTGTTGTAAACCATGATTTGCATAGTCAAAACACTATAATTTTTCTGTTCCTGTGAGTATACAGTCTCTTACTGAAATTAAAATGTAGGAGGTTGGTGGACTTGTTTGGAAACTCTGGACTACCAATGTTTTCTTCTGGAATAGTTAGTTCAGAAGTCCCTGTGAATATTCAACATAATTCGTTCCTCCTCAGCTAACTATGCAGTGGAGAAGCTCCTGGATTCGTGCTGTTCTGCCTTTCCAGCTTGTAAAAGGGGCTAAAGCTAAAGGTTAAAGCAGCAGAAAGCATCTTGGTATTCCTTGAGGTTGTCTAACGGGTTGGAAAACTCCCTGGTCCATCTGAGAAATTACTATCAGAATTTTGTGCTTCTTGGTATCACTTACATTTTTAAGTCCAAAACTTCAAGCTCTGACTAAGGATTTTTGGAGTCCTTCACTCCAAGAGACGTCTGCGTGTGTGCAGCACATTTCAGAAGGATCTGCTGCATGACTTGTCACCAGCATGCAACATCCATCTGTACTGATGGTGCCTTTCTTCCTGAAGATGATAGGGGTTTTTTTGGCTGAAATGTCACTTTGCAGTGGAACTGGGAATTATTGAGGCTGCCTGACACACAGCTAGATGTGACCTTGGTGCTGCGTGCAAAGAACCAGGAGTAATACTTCTGAAAGCCTTTTTTTCTGTAACTGTACAACAGCACATTCCTCTTTGTGCTGGCAAGAAACTGAGAACGCCCCGGCTTGTCAAGTAGCTGGCTTCCAAGGGAAAAATGTGGCTTGCCTTGCAGATGTAGCAAAGGGATGCTTAGGAGTAGGAATATGAATACCTGGGAAGGCAAGTTGAGCTCTTGGACTGCTCTGCTCAATGCCAGTTAGTTGACAGCAGAAGCTGAGCACTGTCAGTGCAAAAAAACATTGCCAAAATATAATCTCCTTTCTGCAAGCATGCTTTTAGGCCCTGATTCAGGAAAATACTATGGAAAGTGATAATGTCCTTTGGAATAAGGAGGAGTTGTACATTTCAGGAAGCATTCTGATAAATTCAGGCAATATTAGCTACTCTTTTTCTCTCTTCTGAATGCTTAGATGCTGGTAATCCTGCAGGATGGGGGGTGTCTGTAGGCACGGTGCACAATGCAAAAGATGCTGAATTTTCCTACTTCCCATAAGCCACTGGAAAGGGAAGCGCAAAGCCAGCCCCACCTGCCATTTTATGTTCTAAGAATTGAATTCTTTATGTTAAAACTTTGAAGAGCTCCGTTTTTCCCTCCAACTTTGTTTAGCAAATGAAGGCGTGAATTTCTTTGCAAGGCAAGGCTTACATTCAAGAGGTAATACAGCACGAGACCAACCAGTGCAGGCAGAAAAAGCAGATAAACTTCTAGACATTCAAATCCTGGCTACAAGGTTGCTGGATCTAAGGAGAGGGAATTGTAAGCCTTGCCTTGCCCATGTCTATGCAGGGATGGTTACAGCTGTGCTACCACTTTTGCATTTGAAGACAGATAAAGGTTTTAGGCTCACATGACTTGTAAGTAAAGACTTAATTATGGTATAATTACAGAACTTTAACTTTTCCTTGTGGGAAATACGTGCTTTTAAAGTTAGCGTAATGATGTTTACCACATAAATACAATGATTTGCGTAGGGGATTTTTTCCTCGGCAATCCTGTAACTAGTCATAAATCCTTGATCATACCAATAGGCAGCTAACTGCTGTGCTTTTCAGAGTTGCATGCACACAATTCATGCTGCCTAATGATGGTGGTTTTCAGGGGTTCGCAAATTCCAGGCAGAAGCTGGTTTTTGTTCAAAATATTCATTAGAAGCAACTGAGGAGGAGGAAACACTCTTCAGAGTCCAAGCTTTTAGTATGTGTGCCTTTCAGTAAAATAATGAGGTAGCCACATACAGCTCTGAATACTAGAAACTCACTTTTTTATGTATATCCTCTAAATTTCTTCTGTAAGTGTTCTTTTCACATGTGAGGAGGTGGCTTCCTGCCTCCTTCTCTTACCATAAAGTCATCTGGCAGGGTTCAGCCGCTCTGTTCAGGCATTCATAAACTTCTAAAGATGCTTTTCTGGCAAGGGAAGAGTAACCTTTTAGTCAGGTTCTGTAGATCAGAGATAAGCATGTTCGTTCCTAAGTGAAGCAACATTATTTTAGGAACTGTCAGACTAGTAAAGACTTGACTACTCTTTTTCCTTAACAACTGCTGTATCTCTCTGCTTTATTCCAACCACACACAGTCCCCATGGATAATGCTCCAAACTCCATGTGTGCCCTGCGAAGCTGGAGCACTTAGACAGATGTGTTTGCAGAGAAGACGAAAACAAATGGTTCTGTTTAATGGAATCAGTGTACTTAAATAATATACTTATGTACTTCACACTCCCGAATGTTGTTGGCAAGTCCTGCTGAATCTCCTAGGGGTGGTGAAAAAAGGCTTCTTCTACGTGCATGCTCTTTTCTGTATACATAAAAAGTGCAGCTGTCTAAGTTTCATATTTAAGTCATCACCTACATCTTCACCTCTGAAAACAAAGCTGGAGAACTTAGTCTTTGCCACCTCTCCCTTCACTGCAGATCGTAAGGAAATGATCCGTATTTCATTTATAAAAACAAACAAAAAAAAAAAATAGTGGGCTTGCTTATCACAAGGTGTACCAGAGCCTGAAGTCCAGAGCCTGCTGGTGTCCACTCCAGGTGTTAGAGTGGAGAATTCCTTCACTAGAAAAGGTGAAAGCAAAATGGTTAAAACCTAGTCTCCTCTCTCATGTCATCAGCCCTAGCAGAAAGCATTTGCTCTAACCCACTCACCCCAACCCTGGTTCACGTAACCCAGCTTTGCTGTTTGTCCAGTGGCTTGCCCCAATGTCTTTAAACACAAGTCTAAGAAACCCTGAAGGGTAAAAGGACTATTTTCAGCAGTATGCTTAAAAAAACCCTGTGGCTTGCATCTCATGCTGTAGGATTTGTTTGGGTGGTTTTTATCCCTATTCTTTCTCCAGGGTGTAAGATTGCACAGTGGGAGGGGTATCCTATCCTCTTCATAGTTTGCTGAGGGGATTTTTTTAAGTGTATGTGCTGGTGTGTATATTAAAGAAAATGACCAAATGCTTGTGCACACAGATTCTTCTTCAGACAAGAAAGGCCTAGGCATCTAGAAGTTCCTTTTGTACTGAGGCAAATCCCATATCAAAATGTCGTATCTTTTGTTAGCTTAACTTACACAATTAGAAAAAAAGGAAGTCAGGGATGTGTACCTTGCCCTTGAAGCAGACAGATATGATGAATTCTTTGAAGAATATATTCCACACTCTTGAACTACCTTCAAAGACGCTTCCTATCCCAGTATGACTTCCAGCTCCAGTGAGTGCCTGTGCCTGGGTGTAAGGCTTTCTTAGATCAGTTTTAGTCTGAAGTGTCCTTCTGCTCTTGTATCAGAATGGTGAGCCACATGCTTCCCTTCCTTTCTTTACCCTCTTACTGCTTTTCCCCACCAGGCACTGGCTGTTTGCACACTTCAGCTTCCATCCCCTGGCTCCTTTCTTTCGAGCCATCTAATTGTGTGATGTCCTTTTCTGTGGTGAGATAAGTTTTGCACGTGTGCTATATTCACTCCATGAGGGAAGCAGAGGCTTATTTGGCACTAGTATTGATTCTGCTTTGTCCATCCTTGTTGGTGCAGCTCCATGCTAAGCAGACACAAAATGGGTGGCTCAGATTTTTCTGCCTAACGCTTAACTCGTCAAGAAAGCAAATAAATATGCTACTGAAAGGTAAGAGAAGGCTCTGGTTTTCTTTTTCCCCACCCTTCTCTGTTGGTGGAAGATTGCTTTTGGAATACAGGGATGCTGACTGTGAGGCAAGGGAAGCTTGAGCTAGTCGAAGACCTAGCTACTGCTACAAGGTGCAATTTGGCTCCCATAACTTGTGTCTTTGGCAAGTCCTTTCAGTGTGAAAACCTGGCAGGGATTTTTTTTTTTTAATTCCCGGACTAGTCTTATGCTAGATTCTCAAACTGAATGGGTTGCTGGGGTTAGGTGAATAGCAGAGCTGTGGAAGGGGAGTAGCAGCAGTGTGTGGCTGGGATGGGATGGCTGCCTATCCACA